AATGCCTTAAAAATACGAAACGCACTATGGCGCTTATTCTTCCCATTGACACGCCTAAACTTGTGATTCTTGATTCTCGGCCTCGACGCATCGCAACGCATTACGTATTTTAGAACATTGGTAAAAATTGAAAGAAAAAGCCATCCTTTAATCGTTGGACATATATATATGAGAGGGTAGCGTGATTTTTTTTTCTTTTCTTTTAAATTCTGCAATTTCCAGAATGATTTATTGTAGTTATTTATTAATTCAACTCATGCCAAAATCAGTATTGGTCATATTTGGCTAAGCTTAAAAGGGTTTACTTGTGGGAAATTTTACTTGTAAGCAGATAAGTAAGTTTTGAAATAGTTTACTTTCTTTTATATGTGTAAGTCGGAGATTAGTACTTATTTTTGACAGGAAGATACGAGTTAAATCTAATGTAAGAAACTTTTTTAGTGAGAAGTAAGGTAAGTTATTGTTCAGTAACGTTTTCTTTTTTCCTTTATGCTTAGTCACTTAGCTAGCTACCTAGTTGGTTTTAAGGTTTTCAGTTTCCATGTTGCGGCTCTTGTTCCTGAGACATAAAAGAAAAGGAACCTTTCCTCTGTGTGTTTGGGCATTCAATGTCCTCCTTTCTCTTCTGATATTTTTTGGTGCTTCTAATTATATTGTTCTTGCAGGGTTGGCTACCTTCTCCCTTTTTTCCTATATACATACATAACGTACATAAGGCGAAGCATGGAAGTGATTCTGGAACCTATGACACGGAGGGAAGGTATGCAGTACGCACAGTTATAAATCTACATGGTAGCTTTTGAAGCATCTATACATTGAATTCAATTATGCAGGTATTTCCTCGTTAATTTTGAGAACATGTTTAGCAAGTACGCTCAGACAGTGCCTGATAAGCTTACCTTTAGAGAACTGTGGAGTATGACTGAAGGCAACAGACAAGCATTTGACATCTTTGGATGGTCCGTACAACTGACCTAAAGCTATAAACCATCTCTTTTTTGTTTGATTAGAAGCCAAATTTGGATTTGTAGGTTTGCAAGCAAGATGGAATGGGGAATTCTATATGCCCTAGCCAGGGACAGTGACGGTTTCCTTTCGAAGGAAGCAATTAGACGCTGTTATGATGGAAGTTTGTTCGAGTATTGTGCTAGGATGCAGATGGAAGCAGAGGAGAACAAGATGAAATGAGTTGTTCTAGTCATTGCTAGGCATATAAGGATCAAGTCACTCGAAGACTTTTATGTGTATTTACTCGTGAGCATTCCTTCCTTTAATAGTTTGTCGAGGACGATATGTATGGACGTTGTTGCTTGATCAATAAGACTTGGTTTACAAGTATTTCGTATCATTTAATGAAAGTAATCAAATCATTTTTATGTTGAAGATAGTAGCGGATCGTTGTAATGTTTGGTCGCATCCAATATTGACTATCATGCTCTTAAGTAAAGACTATCAAATTGAATGGACCATTTTCAAGGTTATTATAGATTTTGAATCTGAATTTGAGGTTTCCTTCAGAACACTTCTAAAGCTGGAGCTTTCCCTTGGCTTATCCATTCCTCAAAAGAGGTATGCACAACTTTAGATTTTTCAATGAAACAACTGGAGTCGAGTAAATGTAAGTAGAAACGGTACTATCTTAGATTTACCCGAAATCATTTTTCTTGTGGTAAGGGACGGTAGACAGAAATGTGTCATAGATATCGAAAAACCAAGCATCTTTGCCATCTTTCTTGAAATCACAGCTAGTGGTATGAAGATGAAATGTGCATTCATCAATTATGTCATGTATTTTCCAATATACTGAAAAAAGTCTTAGCTCCTTCAGTCAATATTATTTCCTAACAAATATTTTAACCTAAATTATCATCAAAAGAGGCGTCCCTTTTGAACTCGAGTCTCGCTGATGTTGGATTTACTTTTATTCTCTCTCTCTTTCCTCCCTTATTCTAAAAAGGATCATGATTGGGAATTGTTTGATCGTCTTTCTCTGAGGAAGAGGTGAAATAGAATCAGATTGCATCAAAATATTTCGAAAGAAAATGGAACCAGATGATTGAAAACTTTTCCCAATCTTTTTTCTGTGTGATTTCTATGTTATGTATGGTCGTGTCTAATGACATAAATTATAAGATAATTAATTGTAAAAAAGGGAATAAACCATTGGGAGCTCGTTTGCCAGCAAAATGTCACCATACAACTACTATATATGAATGATACATTTTTGTTTTCTTTACTATTATTTTATAATTTTAGTTGAAATTAAGCTATACAATAGTCTTTTAAATCGAAATCTTTTGCTCTATTGGGATATTTTAATGGTTTTAAGTGTAAAATTCGAGTGATACAAACATAGAAAGTGAAGACTTCAAAAGTAAGAAAATAGTTGACTAATTTGCTCCTTTACTCGTAAATTTTAAAACGATGTTATTTATTGAAGTTGCAAATGTAGATTTCAAGTGGACCATTTGAGGGTTTGCTTGAGAATTTTTATTTTTATTTTTTTTTCCCACCGTTTTTTTTGGAGGTATCATTTATGAGAAGTTGATAGAATTTTCTTCGTTAATTTTTTTAGATACTGATTTTGGATGGTTTAAAAATCATAAAAAATTTATATAGTATAATTTTGCCCATTTTTCTCCATTCACCAAATCTATGAATTTTCGACATTGCTCAATTTTCCTTTTTCAATTTTCTTGTTTCTAGTTTACCTTCTATAAAATAATTATTTCAAGTCATATATTTTGTTCAAAACTATACTGAAAATAAAAAATATACTATTTAAAAAATTAACATATAAACCAAAAAATAAATATATATAACAAAAAAAAAAAAAAATACTTAAAAAAAAAAAAACTCTCATTAGGAAAAATTATTTTATAATTTTAGTTGAAATGTCACTATACAACTACTATAATTTTATGAGAAGTTGATAGAATTTGTCTTCGTTAATTTTTTTTAGATACTGATTTTGGATGGTTTAAAAATCCTCAAAAATTTATATAGTATAATTTTGCCCATTTTTCTCCATTCACCAAATCTATGAATTTTCGACATTGCTCAATTTTCCTTTTTCAATTTTCTTGTTTCAAGTTTACCTTCTATAAAATAATTATTTTCAAGTCATATATTTTGTTCAAAACTATACTGAAAATAAAAAATATACTATTTAAAAAATTTACTTATAAACCAAAAAATAACTATATATAACCAAAAAAAAAAAAAAAAAAAAAACTACTTATAAAATAAAAATTCATTTTTATATAAAAAATTGCTTTAAAGTTAAAGTACCATTAATAAGACAAAATTATTTGTAAAATATAAAAGTTTATTCATAAGTAAAACTCACTTATGTATGAAAAATTATTTGAAAGTGCGAAATTCACTTATATTGTAAAATTTACTTTTACAATTTACTCATAAGTAAAATATTACTTATAATTTAAAATTAAAAAATTACTTATAAGTAAGATATCAATTATGAGTCAAAAACTCATACGACGATTTATAAATTTAAAAATTTACCCGTTTGATTGATATAAAAAATATATCCTAGAAAAGAAAATATTTTCCTTATTTTGAGGAAAACAAAAACTTACTCCTCCCCAAAGAAAATGTTTTCCTCAAAAATAAGGAAAATGAGGCATATTTTTAATAGTTAGAAAATTCTTCTATGAAAAAATAGCAATCAAACACTTAAAATTAGAAATTTGGGTGAAAATTGACATTTTTTATGAAAAATTCTAGACAATTCAATTGCGTAAAACTTATTCATATAAAAATTATTAATTATATGTGTTTGATTGATTTAGTTTTCAAATTAGAAAATATTACATTTGTCCATTTTTTATTAGTGGGTAGATGAGAGAAAGAAAAAGATATTGAATTATCTGGAAAATAAAAATCACCACTCTCTAACGAAAATGATCTCCTTGTTTTTGAAGAAAATATGGTAACATGACCAAAAGTTGAAAAATATTTTTCATGAACAAAAATTGTCAATGAAACACTTCAAAAGTAGGAATTTGGGCGAAAAAAAAATATTTTCCGTGGAAAATAAAGTCAATCAAATATACTCTAAGAAAAGTATATGTAATTTTATTTTATTTTTTAAAAAGTAATTTAGAATCGTTAAATAATAAACTTTCAAGCAAGGGTTAAATTGTTTTAAAAATCACTATTAAAAAAAAATTCAAAATTGAATTATTTATGAACGTTCAAAACCGATACTTTACTGGACGTTCATAACCTATATCCCAAAACTCCCAAACAAGCCCTAAAAGAGCACCCGATCCCTAGAACTTCTACTCATTGAAATCAAGTTATGTTTTGTTTTCAACTACGTCTGGTCTTTAGTATGCATAACGTCTATATGTTTCAAATTTTTACATTTTCATGTTTTATTGTGGAAAACGTCATATCCATCTATTGTTAGTCCCACCGTTAAATGCACACCTTGACTCATTTTTATTTTAAAACAAGAAGTGTAAAATGGTCAAGCCACTTAAAAAAAAGTCTTTTTCCCACAAGAACATAACAAACACGCACACAAGGTTTCCCTATCAAATCTCAACCCTTCACGTCCCTCTCCCACCTATACCCTTCCTCCCCTTCTCCTATTATCTCAGATTTGTCATCTCGTCGAGGGCTATTGTATGCACATAGTGGGAGGACTGGGAGAAGGTAACTTTTTGCAATGGGTTGGGGTTTTTTTTTTCCCTTCATTTTACAATTCATTTGTGCACCACCACCAGCACCTAATTAGGGACAATTTGTAATTTTATTTTTTACTTTTTGGATTTTTGTTGAATGCACTTGTATTGCGTTGAAGGTTGGCCTGAATTGTAAATCTCTTTTATTGATTTGTATGAATGACGAACTGAATAAGTGATGTAGTTTTTTGTTTCTAAATGTTGAACATAATATATATATAGCCCATGTTTGGTCTTGATTAAAATTCGATTTTAATTCAAGTCAAAATCAAACAATCAATATTAACCACATATTTCTTGGGTCTCACAACTTTTCAACCACACATTTCAAAAACTTCTATGACAATCTATTGAAAATCTAATTTTAATCCATACCAAACATGAGGTCCTGAGCTCTTTTGGTTGTGACTTCATTCTCTTGCTAAGTTTTCTGTTTGTTTTTGTTTAGCAGTTGTATTTGCTATGTTTATTGATGTCTCAATTTATGAATTTGATTTGTTGTCTTTAAATTGTAATTTGATCAGCGCGTTGAGTTGCTATGTTGAACGTGGTGCTTACACGATAAAACATGGACGATTTTCACGTGGATACGAAGCGTATGTACTTTTTGCGCAAAACTTGTTTAAACGTAGGAACGTTTTTCACAACATCCTTCAAAACATATGGATATTTTACGCAAAACCCTTTGAAACGTAGGGACCTTTTTTACAAAATTTGTTGAAATGTAAGGATGTTTTGCATATGTTTAATTTCGAGAGAGAAAACAGATTCACAGCTCCAGATTTCATGTAGAATTTTAAGAAACTGAGTTTTATGATTTTTTATATTGGTTTATTGTGGAGAGTAACGATGGATGAGAGCACGTATAGAAGCTACATTTGGAAAATGAAAAATGCAACAACCTGGCTGATGATGAACAATGGATTTCAAATAATAAACGCGCCACTATTTTAGAAATACAATTTTACACAACATTTCGTATACAAAACTTGATTTTGCTTCATTTGTTTGATAAATCTTCATGCTTGCTGCCATTTCAAAGTTTCGATATATATTACTGCTTATTTATTTTTATTTGTGAATGAAGAATACTCTCTCTCTCTCTCTCATTTTTGAAGTGACCCGACCATTTTATGCTTGTTGTTTTAAAATAAAACTGAGTCCAAGAAGAATACTCTCTCTCTCTCTCATTTTCGAAGTGACCCGACCATTTTATGCTTCTTGTTTTAAAATAAAACTGAGTCCAAGTGTACATTTAACGATGGAACTAACTGTAGATGGCCAGAATGACATTTTCCACAATGAAACATGGAAATAGAAGTGAAAATGCAAAAAATTTAAACGTATGGACGTTTTGTGTCAATAAGCCGTTTCTTACCTCAATTTCTCAAAATAAATATTTTTCTTCAAGCAATTTGCAATAATAAAAAAAATAAAAGAGATAGTAAGTGCTTGGCAGCCACCAACATTCGATACGCAGTAATGCCCATAACTGAAAAATAGATTTGACATTGTCGACCAAATCGATTTGGCAGTTTAGTGGCATCCACCAACATTCAGATACAAAAAAAATAGCAGCTTGGTCCCAAAAGATTCACAAACGAAGTTTTCTTCCTGTGACAAAAGAAATAAAGATCAGCCCTTATTTGTATGTGAAACAATAAAAGAAACAACTTAAACTGAAATTTAAGAAAACTTGAGTACAAATTGCAAGCAGATACACTTTAGAGTGGGAAAGATGAACTTCGTATGCACTAGTTGTTAACACGGGAAAAGTAAACTAGATATGAAGAATGAAGTAGCCTTTGTTGAGTCATTGTCCTAATCTTTAGAAGGTGAGTTCGAGTAAGTTTCAGCACGATAGGCATTAGCTAGGGGCTTTTTCGCTATTTTTTTCTTAGTTTATCTTATTCATCTATAAGATAATGTACATGTTCTCCTATTAGAGCAAGTAGCAGTTGGGCACAGGATATTTTTATTTTATATAAGCACAGTTGCTGAACCGCACAATTTTATGGGTCCCAAATTTTTGCTATTATTTTCTCTGTAGTAATTTTTCCATTCGCGTCATCACATTTTTTTTTATGCCGTCATAGTCTCTATACAGTTCCACAAATAATTAGGATTTACTACTTAACACACATTCTCCTAAATTTCTGCAGAGCCGTGTACTATCTACTTAAAACATTTTGAATGGAATGGTCTTAGCAGTGAGTTTTTTTGTTTTACCTTGCATTCTTCAGTTCCTCTGTAATGTTCCACAATAGTCTTCTGGACCATATGGAACTACCTTAACATATAAAATAGTCTTAAATTAATTCTGTACCAGTAAAGTTTCTGCATAAGTAAATGGCAGAAATTTATGATCAAGAGCCATGTCAGAATATGCATAAACATATCATCCAAACATCCTTTAGACCGAATGGCCTGTCTTAAAATTTGACAATTGCTTATATTTTACTTGGACCTGTACCCATCTTTGACACCCATAACTGTGCCCAAGCAACATATGCTAAAATTAAGCAGACTAGATGACTGACTGATTAGCTATGGAACATCACTTTATCACATGAAAAGGAATTGCAGAAAATTACTATTCCGAATGCATAACAAGGATAAAGATAAAGTAAACTGACTCTTCTTGGATTTCCGGTCTCGACAGAATTCGCTTCCACATTGACACTTAAAAGCTTTCACAGGATGGCTATGGTCATCAAAGTCAATTCCATAGTCCTGCAATACATTTAACAAAATGTTTACCACCGCTAGACCAAGAAACTGTCCTCATTTCGAATGAGAACCATGTATCTGCAGCCCTACTCGATTATGATGTTGCTGCCTTTAGAATCAAAATATTCTGAATCTAATTTCAAAACCATCATACAAAAAGGGAATCAGCTGTTACCCAAGTTAACTCTTCCAAAGCATCAACCTTCCTTGTAGTGAAAAAGGCAACCTGCATGCAATGAATATAATAACCTCAATGCACATATTTAGATATGTAAACAACGAAATTAGGAAAGTGAATATATATATATATATATATATAATTGGCATTCTCCATACGTGGTAATAGTGGTGATCCGGAGTCTCCACTTCCACTGGGATCTCAACCAAGTTAGCATCAGAACACCTAAAGAAATAAAATAACAAAGTCCTGTAAAAATTTTATTATAGGAAAATACACGTTGGGTATTTTCCTCAAAACACTAACAAAATGAGCAATATTGACTCTTGAGATGGCTAGGAAGGTTGGACAACAGTGATAAACAGAATAGCAGATTACAGAGCTGTAGTCAGAAACTCATAAATTGATTTTGGGAATACTGCAGTCTGATATTAACTTATTAGTGTTATTCTTATTCATAATACATCAAATCTTTTCTTTTTAAACCTTACATGACCCCGAAGAAAATTTGGTTTTAGTACACAAGTCCTAACACTGTTGCATGCCTAGTCCCATTCAGATGTGATTTGAGCTTTTTAATTTCTGCAATTCGAAGAATGTAATCTCGTGGGTTATCATAGGATGCATAGCCCCATATCGACCTACCCTTTCCTCCACTTTCAAATCATATTAATACGAATATTCAAGATTGAAAAAACAAGTAATACTAAACTTATTGCATATGAAAATTCAGAATTTCGACAAATAACAAGCTCTGAGCAGCTCATTATTCTCGTGGAGGCCCAGTTGAACCAGTAAGTCATAGAATTCAAGGGTGAAATCTTCAAGACCAAGGTCCCATTGACACAAACTATGGACATTTTTATACAATGTTGTCATATAATCAGATGAGAGCAATTAATTCTCAATCCTGCTTCTGTCGATTCCTCCTAGCGAATCTTCAATCTCCATTGTTCAGTAAGTTTCTCTGTCCACCTTGTTCACGATCTTAGCACTAGTTTCCATCCGAAATGATACTCCAAGCTTGCTTTCCCATCAAATAAGTCTCCTGCATGCATTCTTCCACAAAAATCTATAATTCCAATTCAAACTTTTCAATTGAGATCAAGAGCTCTCCTACATGCTTTTCTAGTTCCCTACAGTTGGGATTCGTACAACCAACAGATTATAGACAAGGTTAAAATTCGTCCCCCCTAAAACTTAGTTTTAATCCTCAAAAGGACAGCCCTACAGTCAAAAATGGGTTTCTAATTCATGCCAAATTGGATCTTCTAGGTTAAATATAATTCTTCGTTTTAATTTTACAGTAGCAAGACATAATGAGGAGGAGAAGGTAAAGAAGTTTATTCGTGGGGAATAGCTTCTAGTTTCTAGCTTCTAAGATTAATTCAAAAAGAGGGCCATAAATTCGTTGAGCAAAGAACTTCCAACACACAAAGAACAAGGATATAATTCCTGAGACAGTAAAGAACTTGTAATTATTTATTTCTCACGTCAAACATACCTGTGGTTGATAAACCTTGCAACATTTCCATAAGAAGTTGCGTCCAGACAAAGTGCCTCTTCATCCTTCAGGACTCCTTCAGAACTCCAGTCCGCATCAAGAAGCACTGGGTACGTGTGCTTTTCACCAGTGTTTCGCACGTTTCTTTCAAATAACTCTGTGTTGGTCACCACTTCTCCAACGTATTCACATATAAACGCACCTTTAGGCATGTCTTCAAGGGTTCGAAGACCCCAACCTTTTCCTCCCGGTGTCATAAACACCTAAAACAGATGGAAAGATTAACAGCTATTACAAAATTAAAATATGGCAATTTCCAAGTAGTACAAGGTAAATCTACAATAATAAATTGAAAAAGAATGTAAAAATCAAGTTTTGACACTTAAACTTCATGCACCAGAAGAAAAAATAGAACATAGAAAGAAGTGTAACCTGCAATCTTGCTGTTATGCCTCGTTGAACAACTCGATTTCCACATAACATGCTGCAACCACATTTATACCAGCACTCTTTTATGAATTTCCTTACTAAATGACCCTTACATTTGCCTGACAATCTTTTATCCTTGGTCCTTTCGAGTGGACAGTCCTTGCAATAAAAAAGATTGTGCTGTTGCGGATCATGATTCATTGAAATGCAACTTTCAAGATATTTTTCCTTAACTAGACCACCTGGCATGTAAGCAAACTCGCCACCGGTTTCACCAGCACAAGCACAAGGTATTTCCGAAGATAAACAGTCACCAAAACAATTTGAACAGCAATTGTCATCTGACATTCGAGCAAGAAGAAACTTCACATATGCATTTTGATATACGACATTATGCTGAATATAGTAGAAAGTAGGTAGTGGCTCTTCATTGATTTCGTTTATCAAAGGAATCCTGTAAGCTTCTTGACCTTTAGTAATGTCTTGAACATAATTAGAAGAGTGTTGTTTTTGAACAATAATCACGCCAGCTGAAGAAGACGCTAAACTATCAAGTTCTATAATCTTTCTGCTAATCTTTTTATCCTTATCAGAGCAACCATACCCATCAATGTTATAATTTCTCATGTGGCGGCGTATTAAGTCCATATGAATGGGACCAAGGCCGTGTGGAGTTTGGGATGCGACTTCAATAAGAGTCCGATTCCGATAATTGACAAGTCCATTTAAAATATCTGAATTAATGCAGAAAGTGAGTTGATGATCAACTCCCTCCACAGAAATAGCTTGTGGATTGCACTCCTTAGATACAGTTCTGGGTACTCCCTGCTCAATACCATTAGAGGCAGTACATGCAGCCAAAAAGCATTCACACATATCTTTCATCAGTTTCAGCATAGAGAAACCGGGTAGAGTAATTTTGTATGACTTTAAACACTTTTCCTCGACTTGCTTCAACACTGATTCTAAACTTGGAGCTTGAAAATGTGATTGGAGGGAAGATTTATATGTCAAAGAAATTTTCACCTCCCTCCTAGATGAAGAAGCAATATCTATTTTTGATGCATTTAGCACACTATTTTCCTCTTCTTCTGCTTTAAATTGTTCAGAGTCCATACACTCAAAATGATGTCCTTCCAAGTCAGAACTCTTTCCCATGGAATCAGCTGTGCCAATAATGAAATGTAGGCAGAAAATAATCAATTAGGGAGATCAAATAAAATTGAATGAAACAAGAAATAAACACTTAGGCACATGGTAACATCTATATTCGATAAAGATAAAGGAAAAGTTAAAAGGGGTAGGAATAGAGAATATAATTATGCCCTTGTTTGGTCCCATTATTTCCAAAATACAATTTTCTCTCTTATTTTCAACCATACATTTTTCAATCATATAATTTTACACGCAAACCCAAAACAATTCCTTATTTTTTAACCACATCCTCCATCAAATTACTATTCAAAAATGCATTTTTGGCAAAAAAATGGGACTCAAACAGAAATTAAAGTCATTCCATCATTATAGATGGGAACATTGCATTCAGCATTAGAAGCAAACTACAAAACACACGCTGTACTTTCATATTATTTAAGATGGAAATGACATGCTCTTTTCTAGACACACATTAGTTTGCAATAATGATTAATTATTAAATATTTACCAGGATAGTAGCTAGACCTATCATTGAGAACCACACCTAGCGTTGTTGAACCGGCTTATAAATCAGTTTCAGGAGAGAGAGAGAGAGAGAGAGTACTCACAGATAGAGAAACTCACATATTTCCTCTGCGTCCAGGTCTATTAATTCAGGAAAAGTTGAGCAATTTGCATTGGCATCAGAACAAGTTCCACATGAACCACCTTCCAGTAGGAGTCTAGGGGGATCTATGAATAAATTTAAAAAATCATTAGCTACCACTAATGTGTAACACTAGTTCAACATAAGAAGTCAGTTTCTTTGCCAAAAAGGTAATTATGCAAATGATCCTCCAAGAACTGCTAAGAGAAATAGGATGAATATGCACTATCCCAACTCAACAAAACGTGTGACTCCACCTAGCCAAATTCCAAAATTTAGGGAAAAATAATAGAAAAGCTATAAATACTATATCATCCTCATATCGTTTTCAATTCCAAATGAACATCACTTTGCAATAAATAATATCTACATTCAACAGAAAATAAAAAATAATATAGACTGTAGAATTCTGATTTGGAGAAAAGAGCCACGTAATAAAAAATCAACAGAAATAGAAAATGGAATTAATAAAAAGAAATTTTTAATAAGCCACAGACTATGTACTTCAAAATTATTGATACAAGATCCAAGTGCCATCCTCTGTTTATCAAAATTACAGCAGAGGTAGCTTATCTCATTTACAGAAGTGATATCATCAAATCATCAACATTAGTGTGTACAATTGTATGATAGAGGCAATACAGAATTTCAAGAGAGAGAGAGAGAGAGATGTTTGTTCTGTGTATGGATGTAGAGGCAGTACCTGGAGGAACTACAACGAAAGGAACCTTATAGTTTGGCAGGCTGTCAGGGAATGGCACACTCTCAATTACAGCATTGCATAGATCTTGATAGGATTTTGAATGGTCGCCTGTTTCATATGTTATTATTCTTTTCTCTGAGGAAATCAGAGATGAGACATATTCATCATTAGAAAGCAAGTGAGTTTCCTTTGTTTGCTCTAGCCCCGTATGAGATATTGGAGAACTGTGGTTCTTTCCTTTATCCTGATGATACTTTTGACATATGACCGTGGGTTTCATATCCTCATCTTGACGAAGTTTATAAGAGGATTCAGCCATATTTTTCTTGCCACGAGCTTGGTTTTCCACCTTATTCTTCATATTCCCAATAGTTATAATATCATTTTGAGGTGAGTTATGACAAGAGGGTGCACTTTGATCAGTTTGGTTGTTTGATTTTGATCTCTTCAAAGGTGGTTCACTTTCATCAGGTTCACCCTCTGACAATGCATTCTTTTTCTCCACTGTAACTCTCGCCACCTAGAGTTAAACATAAAAGGCACATGCTAATAGAAATCAATTGAAATTGTCTATGAAGTTTGAACAGATTGTTCGCTGTTGCGAAATATCAAGAACATAAAACAGCATCATTACAGATTCTCAACTTCAAGGGGGTAGAGATAAGCAATAAATGTTACCGGAAATTAATGGCTTGGTGATGGGAAGTTAAGCTAGTTAACGACTATTCTGGTGATAAAACAGTACTGCACATGGAATTAGAAGCATTCACCTTGTTGTCCTCGCTTTCAATTATTGCGTCAATAAGAACTCTGTAGTTTTCTTCTTCAATAAACTTCCAGTTATTGTCATACAACTTTAGAAGATTTTTTAGTACTGGTTTTACAACTTTCCCAGAATAACCCATGCCGCCCATTGTCTTGCATGCCTTTGCAGCCTTCGAATTTGGTGCCATCACTTGTATTTGGAGCTCACTTAAGAGCTGGTTGCGATTTGATGATAAAATACATTTACCTTCAATTGCAAGAAAGGCAAATAGACATGTTGGGTTAATATTGCAAAATGAGCAGTTTGAATAGAGTTGTAGGCCAAAAACCATGCAAGTATATAATGAAATAGCATTGAAAATGGAAGCCATTGAACTAATGCAACCATAAAAACCTACAATTTTACTAATTAAAATGCAAAATTACATGATTGCTGCAAAAAAGAACACTGTGGGCAGAGTTACACCACACGAGTAAAACGATACTTTAGGCACACGACAGTATAGGATGAACTATTATAAAAGAAACAAATATTGCTGCAAATTCTGCCTTAGATGGGACCCAATATAATTACTTCATGCAACAAAGAATGGAACAAACCAACTTGCTAAAAAAATCTGATGAAAATTGGAATGAAGATGAACTTGATAATATTAATTCTAACTGCCGTTTATTAAGAATGCACTGATATGTAAATTAACTAAGGCCTCGTTTGATAGGGTTTATTTTTCATTTTTCAAGTTATTGCATGTTTGATTGGCCAAAAATTCATGGAATTGGTTTTCACACAAAGCCCCACGTGACCCCCTTTTTCTGCTTTTCATTGAATTGGTTTTCCCACCACTTTGGTGGAAAAATGGTTTTTCACCTTTTTTTTGGGACAATGGAAACAAATTATATTTTTAATTATAATAAATTATATCCCTTTAATAGACAATTTTCATATAAAACAAAACCAAACGAACACCAAAAGATTCAAACATTCAATATTTTCCACGTAGAAAATTATACTAATCAAAACAATTAATTGACAATTCCCAGAATAACAATTTTAGACAATTCAATTCCCTAGAATTCATTTTCTTTCCACCCACATTCCACTCTTACAATCAAACGGACCATAATTCTACTTCAACTGCGAAAATATAGGCCCAATTCTTCAATTCAAATTTTTTGAAGTATGGCTTGTTCTATTATTTCTTACTCAATACAGCGAGAAGCCATGACTTCGCAAGATCACAGAATAATTTATTAAGTTAAAACATCCACAACAGATGAGTAATTAACTAAAAATCAACATTCTTTCCAAAGATTAACAAAATAATCCAACCCAAAAAGCATGGAGAAGAAAAACTAAAATATCCCAGTAAAATTTCTGAAGAGAACAAAAACTATACTCAAAAGAGTGGGATCCAAAGATTAACAAAATAATCCAACTCAAAAAGCATGGAGAAGAGAAACTAAAATTTCTGAAGAGAACAAAACCTATACTCAAAAGAGTGGGATATAAATTCCCAGACAAATGACGAAACTGCAGCATATTCATTTATTTTTAGATTACATACAAATGCAGGCGCACATGCAGTAAAATTTCTGAAGAGAACAAAAACTATACTCAAAAGAGTGGGATATAAATTCCCAGACAAATGACGAAACTGCAGCATATTCATTTATTTTTAGATTACATACAAATGCAGGCGCACATGCAGTAAAATTTCTGAAGAGAACAAAAACTATACTCAAAAGAGTGGGATATAAATTCCCAGACAAATGACGAAACTGCTGCATATTCATTTATTTTTAGATTATATACAAATGCAGGCGCACATGCAGATATATAAACAACAATACATAAAATTATCTACAAAAACCCGAGTACGAATCCAAATGAACCCGAGAAAGATTCCAAAAAAACCCCAATCATAAATTGATGGAAAATGGTATTTTAAAATTAAAAAATCAGCATCTGCCGAATAATACGCATAATTTACGAATAAAAACGTTGATATCAGGTTTTTCTATTCATTTTGCAAACTTTTAGCGATCTATCGCAGCTATCAAATTGAACACTTTTGAAAAATAATACTGTAGAAGCATATAAGATTTATAATGCACAGCATATAACTAAGCCATATTTTAATCTCATTTTTCATATCACATTTTTTCTCCCCCAATCATTTTTAACCGTACATTCTTCCAATAAAATAATTTATGCATAAATTCAAAAATTTTTCCTACTTTTTAACCGCACAATCTTCAAAAAAAGTCATATTACAAAACTATTTCTTTTTAAATGGGATCGAACGGGGCTAAATATTTTAATTTATTTCATCGATTATGCGTCCAAATGATCTTTGGCAAATATTATTTAAAAAAAAACCCCACGTGAGATTTTGCACAAAACCCAAGTAAAACAGTTATTTTAATCAGTAATGGGAGATAAATACGTACCACTTCATAAGAGATTTCTTGGAGTGGAAGAAAGGTTTTTGGGTCCTTTGTGTGTCATGAGGAGAGAACAGGAAGAAGAAAAAAGTTTGGTAGAAAATAAAGTGAGGTGAAAATTAGGGTTTATATCCTCTTATATCAGGTGAACCTAGATTTCATGATGAGATAAAATTAGAATATGGGCTAAATCTTTTCTGGACAAAACAGAATTAGATTTTAAAGTGAGCTAAAATATAGAGCATTGTTAAATCTGGACCTTTGGTGTGGGCTAAATATTTGAATTAATAAACAAAATATGGGAAGATTGGGCCCACTATCTTTAAAAATAAAATATTACATTAATACCCTTAAAATTGATTCTTTTGAGTTTTTATCATTTTTTTTGAATATTTGTCATTTTTTAAAAAATTTTATGTTACTTTTCGTTTAATAGTCTTTCTTTTCTCATTTTATATGATTAAGAGTTAATCATACTTACATTTACATTTTTAACAAAAGTTGTAATGTACAATTTATCGGGACAATAATTTCTCATTTTATCACTTTTCCATTTATTATCTTGTCTCCACTTATCTTCATAACAAATGAAGACATTAATTTTATCCATATCTACAAAGAAATACAAATGAAATTATGTGAGACTTTTTTTTTTTAAAAAAAAAGTGATATAGTATGCCACTTTTAATTTTCAGCAAAATAATTCATATGCAAAAATATAAATAAAATGTTACATAATGTCACTTTTTAATGTAAAATAAGGTTTGAATTCATATATTTAAATTTTTAAAAATACACATGTATGCATCTATTTGATGCCTCCAAAAGAATTTAAATGA